AGGGGACATCTGGGACCAGTATAAAAGCAGGATACAGTGCTGTCTTGAAGATCCTGAACATGATTTGAAATTTATAACCTAAAAAACAGTTGCACTGTTTCAATCAAAATGGGCCTTCAAAGTACAGAAAGATCAGGGTGAATTACAAAGTGTAAAGATTCTGGAAAACAGATTTTTGAAGGTTGAAGCTCAATAGGATTCTATTTCTCAGACTGTGCAGCCAGGAACATTTAGCAGTGCAAAGGGGACTTTATATTGGTGGCGGGGGAGGGAACCTGAAAATTTCCAGAATATATGAGAGAAATAATACCACGGGTACTGGGGTTAGTATTGATTTGTGGTGAAACCATTGGAGAAAATTATCACCTGCTCAGCAAAAAACGAGAAGAAAAGAGAACAGATTTTTTTAATTAAGAATTTAAAACAGGAGTGCACAAAGTAAGACCCGAAGGTCAAATCTGACCCTCTATCAGCCAGACTTATAAATAAAGTTTTATTGTCACACAGCCACACTTATTCATTTACATAGTGTCTGGGCTATTTTCTGCTACAATAACAGAGATGAATACTTGTGACAGAAACTTTATGCCCCACCGAGCATAAAATATTAACCCTGTCGCACTTTTACAGAAAAACTTTGCCAACCTCTGGTTTAAAACATCAAGCTATGTTTTCTGGAAATTGGGAGTATTGGGGAGTATATTTGAAATCAGAGTGAAAGAAAAAAAAATTCATTTGTTCATTCCCTAAATATTTAGTAAGTACCTATTCTGTGTCTAACTGCACACACAAAAATTTTTTTTATTAATTTATTTTAGTTTTGGCTGGGCTGGGTCTTTGCTGCTGCCTGTGGGCTTTCTCTAGTTACTGTGATACGGGCTACTCCTTGTTGCAGTGTGACAGCTTCTCATTGTTGTGGCTTCTCTTGTTGCCGAACATGGGCTTCAGTAGTTGTGACACGTGGACTCAGTAATTGTGGCTCATGAGCTCGGTTGCTCAGTGGCATGGGGGAATCCAGGGATCAAACCTGTGTGCCCTGCAATGAAAGGCAGATTCCTAGCCACTAGACCACCAAGGAAGCCCTAAAACATTTTTTAAAGAACAGATAAAAGTCCCTGCCCTCAGAGAACTTACCTGAACTGAGGAGTTTCCTATTTGATCCTACTTGCAAAAACTGCACATGTTTTGTAAATGAAACCTTTCAAAGAATAATGAAAAATGAAATGTTTCAGGGCATAAGGATGAGATCAGCGTTTCCTCGGCTTAGTCAGTAGGATGGGATGAGCCTCCTGACAGTGCAATGAAGGAAGAATCATCAGCTGGGCCAAGAAGACCTCAAGGCCCACTGTGAACAAAGACAGGCTGTTAGGATGCTTTAAGGTTGAAAGGAAAACATGAACTAATCTGCACATGGTTGCAAAAACAGACTTATAGCATTGAATTGATCTGAACAAAACTCTTGGCCAGGCCTATCACAGCATTGCTAACAAGAGCAGGAAATTGAATGGCTTTGCAGCAAGGCTGGTGAAAAGAGAGCCAGGCATTTCATACACACAAGGTTACACTGAGGTTTGAGACTCCGTGCGTGTGTGCTGAGTTGCTCAGTTGTGTCCAGTTCTTTGCAAGCCTTTGGACTGTAGCCTGCCAGGCTTCTCTGTTCATGGGATTTTTCAGGCAAGAATACTGGAGTGTGTTGTCGTTTCCTTCTCCAGGGGATTTTCCCGACCCAAGGATCAAATCCGCATCTCCTATGTCGCCTGCATTGCAGGTGGGTTCTTTACCTGCTGAGCCAACATTGGGGGAAGTCTCAGTAGTAATAAGTTTTGATGTGAGTGAGAAGTAAAAGAACTCTGAAAATTTCTCAATACCATCAACTCATGCATCTGAGAAAAAGCTGATGATTTTTTCAAAGCATTTGCATACAGAATGAAGGTGCAGCAAACAGGAAGCTGTGTTGTTTCGTGAAAATATCTTTGGGCTCTCCAACAATGTAATTTGTGTTCATTTGGGTTTTACATCCTTTCAGAGACGATAGAATTTAGGAAACTGTATAAATGATTCTTGAAAAATCAAGTGTCTGATAAATTGAGCAGTGTACTGAGATTAACTTCCAACTCTGAATTTATCTTTTGTCTGTAACGTATTAAGTATTTCAGGAATTCTTTCAAAGGGCTGCAAAATAAACTGATCTATAATCACTTCTTTTTTCTTTCTTCATTGTTTATCATCCAAGTAAAATGATACACATTTCAAAACTATTTAAGATGGGCTAGAAGAGTCACGCCAAAAAAAAAAAATCATAGAAAGTTTCATAGTTCAAAAATCATTCATTCAAATGAATACCAAAAACTCCTGGAAGAAAAAAGGTTTGGGACTTTAAGTCCTTTTTTTTTTTTCCAGAAAACAATGTACTAGGGTTATTTATTTACTAAGAACCTGAGTCTCAGTTACTACATTTAAATATACATTTTAAGGATAAGAGGGCTTCACCGGTGGTCCAGTGGTTAAGACTCCAACTGCCAATGCAGAGGACACCGGTTCTGTCCTTGATCTGGGAAGATCCCACGTGATGCAGGGAGACTAGGCCTGCATGCCACGTCTTACTAAGCCTGCACTCTGGAGCCTGCGAGGTGCAACTATTGAAGTCTATGTGCAGCAGCTACTGAAGCCCACACGCCCTAGACCCCCTGCTCTACAACAGAAGTCACTGCAGTGAGAAGCCCAAATGCTACAACTAAAGAGTAGCCCATCCTCTCCGAAACTAGAGAAAGCCCATGCAGAGACAAAACGAAGACCTAGCACAGACAAAAATAAGCAAACATTTAAAAAAAGAAAAGAATAAGAACACAGGACTTCTCTGGTGGTCCAGTGCTTAAGAATCTGCCTTCCAAAGCAGGGCATGTAGGTTTGATCCCTGGTAAGGGGACTAAGATCCCACCTGCCGTGGGCTCAACTAGAGAAGTCATGTGCCACAATGAAAACTCGGTGCAGCCATAAGTAAATAATTTTAAAAAGGAACATTGAACACAACAATCTCTTTGAGATTTTGTATACACACGAATAAGTACATATATGGTATAAAGAATTAAATGAAACAGCAGGCAAAATTTTTCAAGAATATAGATGTACATATGGTGTGCGTACAGTCCCACAGCTTTGTTTTCCTAAGAATCATACAAAATTCAATTTCCCTTATGACTGCCTCAACATAGCCAACATGGGTTATTCCACATGGTCTTCACAAGAATGCTACAGATGTCCCGAACCATTGTATTTTGTTTCAGGTCCAACTGCTAGAGCAAGCAAGGATGCTTATTCTTCTTCCACAGCATCTTAAATCATACTGTGAAGAGCACTAGCTCTTGATGGCTATTAAGAGTGGACTCTATGATCAAACTGATGGACCTCGAAGGAAGGAATCAGTGCCGTTTGGAGAAACTGACCATGAAAGATGAAAGGCAGATGGTGTTTGATGGATCCAATCTCACCTATCAGAATTACTCTCCCTGCCTGGTAGATTGTCACGGCTAACACCCAAACCTGAAATCTAAGTTTGATGGCACACTACCCTGGTAACAGTTGGACACTGTTCCTGAGAAAGGATGGTGACACAATAAAAATCATCAGGCTGTTTTTATTAACATATTCCCGCAGGTTCAAAGATTTTTGGAAACCTCATTTGAAAGCTGTTGCTCTAAGATCTACAAAGCACCTCATTTGTTTTGATGAAATTCCCTTCATACAGAAAAGTGAAAATGTAAGTCAAGTCCAACTCTTTGCAACCCCATGGACTGTATAGTCCACGGAATTCTCCAGGCCAGAATACTGGAGTGGGTAGCCTATCCCTTCTTCAGGGAATCTTCCCAATCCAGGAATCGAACCGGGGTCTCCTGCATTGCAGGCGGATTCTTTACCAGCTGAGCCATAGGGAAGCCCAGGAACACAGGAGTGGGTAGCTTATCCCTTCTCCAGTGGCTCTTCCAACCCCAGGAATCAAACCAGGGTCTCCTGCACTGTAGGCGGATTCTTTACCAACTGAGCTATGAGGGAAGCCCCCTCATACAGAAATCTGCTAAAAAAACAAGGGTAAGGAATCTGGGTTCCCCACAAACACCCTCTCAGGTTCCACCTTGGCTGGGATTATTACAAATCCCCATTTTATAGATGATAAAACTGCTGTTGGGAAAAGTGAAGTCACCACATTCCTGGTTTCCTTAGGGAATGGCCTCAGTAGGGACCTTTGTCACTCAATGTGAATGGATTTGTACAGGGGACTGTTTATTTACACAAAGGCAATCGTCCTCTGGGTGGGCCGGTGTGTGACTGACACGTTCACAGTCCCCGGAGTTCTTGGGAACCCAGGGGATCACCAGGTCAGAAGGGGCCACTTCCAGCTCCTCTCACACCATGACCCCTGCCTCTCTCCTCCTCCACCTTGGACTCTTTCCTCCTCCTCCTTGGACTCTTTCCTCCTCCTCTGCAGCCGTAATGGGCTCCTCTTGGTCTGTGCTCCCTATTCCCAGCAGCTCTTTCTGGTTCCACTCCACAGCCCAGAATCTTCCCCTAACCTCTCCTCAACCTGGGCGACCACCCTTCCTCCTTCAGAGCTCCACGTGGTCCCATTCTTCCAGGAAGTCCTCCCTGCACCCTCTCCACCAGCTGCATGGGGAACCCCATCTCTGGGTTCTTGTAGCATCCTGTGCTGCCTCTAGGCATCTTACCTTGATTTGACTGTACAAACAAAAGGTGGTCCAGCATGGTGTTTCAAAGCCTGGGCTCTGGAGCCAGTCGGCCTGGGTTTAAATCTTGGCTCTGCCTCTTAGGTATAAATTCTATGACCCTGAGCAAGTTGCTTAATCTCTGTGTCCCCATCTCTCCCTCTGCAAAATACGAACAACGTAACCAGCCTGTTGTGGAGAACCCAAGAGTTAACACATGCAAAACATGTAAAACAATGTCTGACACATAGCAAGTGTTCATTGCTGCATCGTTATAGTAATCTATTGTTTTCTGTTCCATCCTTTCACTAGACTGAATTTTGTTTGTTTTTGGTTTTGGTTATGCTCTGTAGCATGTGAACACTTAGATGTGGCATGTGGAGTCTACTTCCCTGACTGAGGATTGAACTTGGGCTCCCTGCATTGGGAACATGGTGTCTTAGTCACTGGACTGCCAGAGAAGTCCCTAGACTGAATTCTTGATTGTCAAGATGGTGTCATAATTCTCAGCACCACCTCTGGCACAGAGTAGGTACTCAGTAAATACTTGCAGCAAATGAACGAATGGACAATAGCAGCCACAGCATCTGTTGAACCTTCTGCCCACAGCTGGTTTTCTCTAGTGCCCGCCTTGGTTTCCATGGACTCAGGGCCCCTGGGACTGTGCTGATTTGCTCAGAGACTTGCTTATGCTCTTCCCAGGGCTGAGTTATCCTCCCAACACAGCTGCTCATCCCATTGGAGTTGTGCAACTCCATGCGCTGCAGCTTTGCAATGACTATTCCTCATCTAATGAGGGTGTTGACCTGTTTTCATGGAATTGAAACTTCTCCCACTGGAAGTTCCCAGAGGCCCACACTTAGCCAACAGCCTCACTGGTTGCTCTCTGAGAAGCTAACGCTCTTCTCTCCATTGCCTGAGCTGTGCCTCAAGGCCTGCAGCTGGTACGCCTGTCTTCCACCTGCTATGAGCCAGTTCTGCCTTCATCTCAATGCTCAAAGGCCACCTCCTGCAGAGCTTTTGTAGACTACTCCCCAGTGGAAACCACTCCTCATCACTCTGAACTCAGTCCTCTATCTGCCCCAAGTTTCTTCACCTCCTGTAGTCTCAGTTTCATTATCTGTGAAAGAGATAACAACCCCTGCTTCAAAGGGAGGTTATAAAGATCAAGTGACTCAAGCAAATGTTTCATATCGAAAGTGTTTCCTTATTTACTACTTTGGAAGTTTCCCAAAGCCAGGAACCCTCTGTTTCATTACTAATCTGCCCCTTATTCTTAGCACCTGACTCATCTTAGGCATTCAATAAATGTTTGGTCAGTGGATCGATTAACTAAAATATCAGTCAAAAAACATCAATTATGACAAAGTAGCAAGATCCCTCAGTTGTATCACAACAGAAAAGAATTGTCTCATGTGATTTTCATTTTTCTTTTTCTTCCTCTTTTCCTTTCTTTCTCTCTTCTTTTCTTTCTTTCTTTATATTATTGTTTTCAGATTAAAAATAGCCAAACCAAATCAACTATCCTTTTCGTGGGAGGTGAATTCACAGGTGTATGATGTGCTCAAAATATCATGAACTAGCCAGGGAACTGGACTTGGGAGTAAAGACATACACGTATTCACACGCTGGGAATACTTTTCAGAAAGGGGTGGGTGCTCACAATGCGTCCCCACACAGTGTGAGCCTTGGTTACAACCACTCACCTCGTCCAGCCTCTTACTCCATCCTGGGTCCCTCCCTCCCTGACATCACATTGCCACCTGTACCCCAGCATCGCCAAACTGAGTGATTAACACCTGCTCTTCTTGACAAACAAAATTTCCTCTCCCTGCAAGATCCTCCAGACACCAAAGGGAAAAGCCTAGAGAATTTCATGTTAGCGGATGGAAAGCTTCATTTCTTACAAGCCCCAGGCACCTGGAAACAGGAGGGCATGCCTACTTTTGAGACTGTCCTGCTCTCTTTCACTGATATCCAGAGAGCCCCGTCACTTTCACTGGGTTCAGGTCCCCACCCTTCTTTCCCTTGCCTGTGCCCTAAGCCCTGGAAGGAAAGCCCAAATTGCTCACAAGGTGGTGCCTCCAGAAATTGCCCATTCATCCTTATCAGACCTACTTAGCTGCCCGACCCAGACCTGTCCTCGTACAGTCACCCGAAAGGCTCAGCCAGATGGTTGCAACGTGTGCAGGGGACGCAAACTGACTTAGCCCAGAGCTGATGGTGAGCCAGGATTGAGCCACCCGTGGAAAGACAAAGCAGGTCAGTTTGGCAGCAGGATGCTGCGCAGAGAACAGGGAATACCTGGCGGCCCCAGTCCACAGGGACAATCCCTGGTCAGTTCCACACAGTGACCTCAGCCTCTATTTCCCTCCCCTCCACCTCTGACTCTCACCCCGCAGCACTGGCTCCAGCGGGCTGGCTGCTCAGACACAGGGATTGGCAGGTGAGTATACACAGCACCATTCAAGATGCCAGTGACCATAGAGATGCCTCTAAGAATGAAAAAGCATTGTCTACGTCCGCAGTTTTCCCCGCAAGGTCAACATCTGTGCCTTCAGGAGCTCAGGAACCATCACGGGAACGATGCTGCAGGGGTCCCCAGCGCCGTCTCTGGGGTGTTCCTCCAAGCTTCTGACATCGTTCTGCCAAATTTGAAGTGGAAATCAAATCATGAATGTCTCCGTCTCAATGTGACTAATAGATGCATCCTGATTTCAGAGTTGATAGAAAGGGAGAAAAATATGCATTTAAACTGCTAATGCATGAAATGACAATAGCAGTGAACAGATACTGAACAGCTGGGACAGCCCAGGAGCAGTGCTAAGGATGCACCTTACATGTGTTATCTTATTCCATCTTCTCTCTGAGGTGGGTAATAATATGAGATAAATTTTTATAGTGCTTGCTGTGTTCTGGACACAGAACAGAGTAAATATATATAAATGTCTTATATATATTTCCTCATTTTTATATAAATGTCTTGTATGTATCTACTCATTTAGTCCTCCCAGAAGCCCCATAATCTAGGTATTGGGTTGACTAAAAACTTTGTTCGTTTTTCCATAAGATGTTAGAGAAAAATCTGAACAAAGCTTTTAGCCAACCGAATATATATCTCTATTTTGAAGATGAAGATGATGAGAATAAGTTACTTGCACAAGATTACACTGCTTCTAAGTGGTAAAACTGGGATTTGAATTCCAAATTCCAGTTCTAGAGTCTACACTTAATTACTCCACTATATGTGAATCTATTCTTGTACCCATTATACAGATAAAGAAACCAGAGGCTTAGAAGAGATAAATCTTTGCCCAAGGGAGAAGAGCAAGGACCAAGATTCAGATCCACAGCCTCTGACTTTAAAGCCCATGCTATTCATCATTTTGTTATTCTGTGTCAGAAAGACAAAAGGGCAAAAGTCAAAAACATGCATTCAGGTTTCATCTTGCCATTCAGAATCACATATGGCATTATTTTGGGGAAATAAAAAAGAAAAAAACCTGCTTTCCTTTCTTTCAAAGGTGCAGGTAGAACAATGTCTTGTAGTGATCTGAAGAAAGTCTCATCCACCTGTTTGTTTATTCACAGAGTAGCAAGTAACACTATTTTCAAAATGTTATTACATGCATAATGGGCAAGGCCCTATGCTAGGTGCTCCCAGGAGCTCACAATGCAGCAATAATAACATGTTCTACAAGTGACGATAAGTGTGACCTCAAGAGGGGAGATGCTATTGCCACCCGGAACTGTCTGGAACCTCCTCTGCCCCTGGGGAGGACAATGCTGGAGCCGAGGTGCACAAAGCGGAGGAAAGCCCTTCCAACTCTTCAGTGGCGACCTTTCGCCCTCCCAACCCTCTTCTCTCACTGGCCGCAAACTTAGATTACGTGTTCTTCTGACGTCTTCGTTGTCTCTTCTAGTCCATTCTTTTTTCTTCTTCCTGAAACTACTCCACACCCCATACCCAGCTCTAAGTACTTCCCAGGTCTATCTCGCTCCAGAACCTGCCAGCTGATGGCCAACAGGAATAAACACTCTGTGCCCCTATAAATTAAATCGTGTTGCTTCCCTGGTAGCCCAGACAGTAAAGAATCTGCCCGCAATACAGGATATCCAAGTTCAGTCTCTGGGTTGGGAAGATTCCCTGAAGAGGGGAATGGCACTACTCCTCCAGTACCCCTCCAGTGGAATACTACCCATTCCAGTATTCTTGCCTGGGCAATCCCATGGACAGAGGGGCTTGAAGGGCTACAGTCCCTGGGGTCGCAAAGAGTCAGACACAACTGAGCGACTAACATACACAATGATTTATTGGGTCTATTTTTACTGGACAACCAATGAGGCACAGGAATTTCAGAATTCAGATATTTCTCAGTGCATACTCAGCACCAGGCATTGGCCAGACTAGTCACTTTCACATACTGTGGCCTTTAATCCTCACCATAACCCCACAAGTCTTCCCCAGTGGCTCAGTGGTCAAGAATACACTTTCGATGCAGGAGACTTGGAGGAGACACAGGTTCGATCAGGAAGATGCCCTGGAGGATGAAATGGCAACCCACTACAGTATTTTTGCCTGAGAAATCCCATGGACAGAGGAGCCTGGCGGGCTACAATCCATGCAGTTGCGAAGAGTAGGACATGACTTAGTGACCAAACAACAAATAACCCTACAAGATACAGACACAGAGGATCCCAGAGGTGAATGCTAGAGAAGAAATGACCCCTAGGGGGAATGAATGGCAGAGAGATGCTTTTGACCGGTCTTCAAAATAACCCTACAAGATACAGACACAGAGGATCCCAGAGATGAATGCTAGAGAAGAAATGACCCCTAGGGGGAATGAATGCCAGAGAGATGCTTTTGACCGGTCTCCAGATTCCCAGTCCTGTGTGTTCATTAAGCACATTTTGAAGACCTATCCATGAATATTTATACCCTGGATACAAGATAAATATCAGCCACAGTATCTCCCTTTGACCTCACAGCACTGATGCTGTGAAATTCTTCCAGGTATCTACTCCAAATTCTTTCTGCCACAACTCAGTCCCATTCCCTACCTCGCCCCCATCTTCAGATAAGTACAAAACAAACAGTTGCTGATGAGATCAACACCAAGCTCCTCCTCTTGTTGTGGCTTCTGTCTTCTGTTGCCTCACACGTCTGAGATAAGCTTCATGGAACAGTCTTCCTATCTCCCAAGGCATTGCCCCCACCCTTTCAGTCACTCCTCAGCACCTTCCCAGAGTCGGGGAAGACCAAACACTTTAAGGGCATCTTCTCTGTGGGGAAGGGAAGAAAGACAGAAAGCTGAAAGCTGGTGGCTTCTCCCAGTTCATCACTCCTTAGGTGACACTTTGTATGAAGATTTTTGCCTGTC